ATGAGTGTCCCTGGGGAAGGGAGGCTTCCAGCAGGTCTGGCCGTTAGAGGAGGAAACCCTGGCCCTCTGCAAATGCGGTGGCAGCAGGAAGCCATTCCAGTGCACCTGCTTCCTCCAGGCTGGCCTGCAGGCCCTTGCTTGGCTGCTTTCTGTTCCGCCCTGGGGTGGGGGAGGGGTCTCACTGGAGGCAGAACCAGAGGGGCCGCGGTGTCCCTGCCAGGCTCTTCTCCCCCTCCCTCCCTGCGTGGCAGTGTGGCCTTCAGGCCACTCCCTGCAGAACTGCTATTCTCAAGCAGCTCTTTGTGAAGCTTGGTCAGATCATGGGTGGAGGGGCAGATCATCTATGGAAACCCCCGCTTTCTACCCAAGTTGTTATTCTGGCAGGCGATGTCATGGAAGGACATCAGTACAGGTGAACTCAGATGGGGGGCATGGCTTGCTTTCATCCCGTAGAGTGAGCCTCAAGTTCTTGCTAGAGGACAGACCTGGATGTGAGTCCTCATGTGCTACTTACTGCTATGAGGCCTTGGGCATGTCATTTCTGAGCCTCCTTTTGCTCATTTGTAAAGTAGGACTCATACCAGTATTTACTTCAGAGGGATGTTGTGGGGATTAAATGAGATAATACCTGTAAAGGTTTCAGCACAGTGCCTGGCGCTTAATACTCCCTACACCTTCTTCCTGCCCCCACCCCAGTCCTTACATAAGCTGGTGCTAAGTTAGGACTGGCAGGGAGATGGTCACCTAGGACCAGGACCTACCCTCTGCACCTCAGAGTGGGAAAGGAGAAAGAAGAGGATGCTGTTTCTTTCTTCTCCAAATGAGAAGCCCAGAATGTGTGTGTCGGCAGAGAGGAGGTGTGCCGAGTTCCCTTGGGCACAGGCAGGGGGATCGTCTCGTTTTCTAGGCACGCTCTCTCAGGGCGCTTGCTGCCCCTGCAGTCTCACAGTATGTGGACATCTGGCATGAGCACTTGGGCCTGGATGCATTTGTCCAGGCTGGGCATTCCATTGCCTAAAAGGGTATCTGGTGGGTGGAATGACTCTCCTGGGGGCATTTGCCCCCAGTTTCTCCTGTGAGGGGCTCAGAGGATTTTAGGTTAAGAGTGGATAGTCCTTTCCGGCAATGCAGAGGGTAAAACCCAGCCTGGCCCAGCGCCCTTAGTGTTAGAAGCCTTCTGGGGCTGAGCACAGAAGGGTTACTTGGCACATTTCTTGGGTTTCTCCTCTTTGAGAACAAATGTTTTTAACTATTATCTCCTCTGCATTTTCTTTTTTATTGACTATTTAGTCATCTTTACAGTAGAAATAAAGAGTAAGTAGCAAATATATAACAAAATAAATACCAAGTGTCTCTAGTGTTTCTAATTGATGACTATTAATGATCACTGTTTGTATACTATTTAGGTTTACAAGACTATTAATGATCACTGTTTGTATACTATTTAGGTTCCAGTTTTTTTGATTGATGATATTTTTGGTGGAGTTTACCATATGGCTACAGTTATCCACATATTTGTTAGTTTAAATGACAACAGTGCATTGTATCGAAGTACCATAGTTTACCCAACCCTCCCCTAATTTTAGGCATTTGGGTTGCTTTCAATTTGGCGCTATTATTATAGAGTGCATCTTTTAAAATATTTGCATAGGTTTGCAAGTTTTTTTCGGTCTCTTCCTTTTTCTAAGTCAGCTCAGTGCATATACATTCCTGAAGATGGGATGGCCAGGCCAAAGGATGAAGCATTTTATGACTATTGTTGCTCCACAAAGAGCTAATAAGCAATTTCAGTGTCCCAGCCCTCCCCTCAACCCCATGGCACTGAGTTTACGATCTATTTATTGTTGCTAAGTTTAGAGCTTATACCTCCCTTTTTTCCCCCCACATCCCTGGGAATCGGGATGGGCAAGCGTTATTCTCCATACTTCACAGCTGGGGGAAGAGACCAGATGGGAAGAAGATGTTTGCACAAAGAACCCCCATTGCAGCACTGTATGCAACAAGCATTTATTAAGTGTCCCTGGTATGATGGGTAAAAGAGAGTCCTGCCCTTGAGGAAATCAGAGTTCAGGGAACTTTATAGACACACAAGCAGCTCACCAAGATCCATCCTGGTTGTGAATCCCAGCGCTGCCACTTACTAGCTACAGTGTCTTCGGCAACGTACTCACCCTCTTGATTTCCTTATCCAGAAAGTGAGTTGTTGTGAAGATTAAATGGAGACAGTCTGAAGTGCCTACCACTGTGCCTGGCTCATAGTAAGTATACAGTGAGCATTAGTTTCTCTTCCCTTCTTCAAGAGAAGAGGTCAGAAATGCCAGAGAGGAAGGAGGTCAGAACCTCAGCAAGTGGTGGGATTGTGGTGGGGTCTCCCTTCGCAAGTCCAGAAACTCATTTGGGAGTATTGGACACTAGTGAACGCCACCCTGTTAATCTGTGCTTTGGCTTGACCCGGACCTCCTGAACCTTGACACTGATGCAGAATATTAGCCAGAGTTTGAAACTAAGGATAACTTAGCCCCTCTGACCCTGCCTAATACAGCCAAAAAGATGGGCCTCTAAGAGAGCAGCACAGGCTTTGCAGTCAGAGCAACTTGAGTTCAAATCCCAGCTCCACCACTTACCAGCGTTGTGACTTAATCTCTCTCTGAGTCTTTTTCCTCATCAGTAAAATAGGAATCACAATAATTCTCATGTCATGAGACCATTAGAAGATTTATACTCGAAAAACGTATATTAAATACTTTTACAGAGTCCATAGTCAGTAGGTAATGCTGTTATTGGAAATGGATGAACTCTCTAGAGAGAGAACAAGTCAGGAAGAGAGGCGTTGGCTTCCAACCACCCTTGCTCCAGAAAGCCAACAGTTCCCAGCTCTGCAGGTGACTGTAGCAGAGACATTGCCACCATCTTTGGGACTGAGTTCCTTACCTGTTCTGTCTTGGATAAAGATAGGTTATTCTTGATCCTACGCAAATCTTGGTTAAAATCCAGTGATGAGGAAGACAGGATAAAGATCTGGGCAGTTCTGCACAAAAGCCACAGAGTGATTTTCCTCTGGGGAGAACCCCACATTTGTGTTCAGAATGATGCTCATAAGGAACAGTTGATGTGAAGGAACTGGCCCAAGTGTGAATGGTGTCCTTACACCCCGGGGCAGATGTGCTCCTCCCTGGACAGAAGGAAACCTGGAGCAGGAGATCAAAGAACAAATGAGTTAATTAAACAAACTTAAAGTCTCTAGGATATGAACTAGATAATAAAATAGAAAAGTCAGCAAAGCAAATTAAAAATAACTCATTAAAAACAAAATTGCTTTAATTTTTCGCTGTTAAATCATTACAAGCAGTAATAAAAATGAACCAGTTCTTAAACATCACTGAATTGAATAGCTTCTTTGGATGAAGTCTCTCCTTGGGTTAAGGCAGATTCTACCTATTGATTTTCAAGAGGACCAGCTCTGGTCCTCTTGGGATGGCTTTATGTTCTCCAGACCTCTTACCCCTGGTGGGGAATAGTGTGTTGCAGGCAAAAGGCAAAGTTGCTTGGGTCCTAGAGCAGCTCCCTTAGTCCCCTTCCAGGTCACAGGCCAGGAGCTTTGGTTCCTGAATTGAGTGCTTGAGTGCCTCTCCCCACCCAGACTCTTAGGGTGCCAGACTTAGGAAAGACTTTAGCCATTATCTAGACTAGTTCACTTTCTAATTCTACAAAGAAGCCCAAAGAAGTGAAGTGGTTTATTCAAGGGCACACAGCTTCCAAGGACAGGAAGTTCTAAGTTCTGTACCCTACCTTGCCTTCCCCTTCTAATATTTTATTCCTTACTCCTCTGATCTTTTGAGCTTCATAATCCTTCCCTCTCTGCTCCATCCTGCCTTTCCCCTGTTGCCCACAGTGTTTGTCCTGGCAGGTCCTGGCCTTTAGGAAGACTCCGAGTCCCTGCGAGACCCTGGCCACCCCCGTTTCTTCTCTGACCTAGAGTGCAGGCTACTTTTGGTGCTATGGCCTTTTCATCAAGGTTCGCCTTCTGGGAGCAAAAGGAAAGTTGGATTTCAAAATCTTTACACTTTTCCTATGTGCTTGGCATGGTGTGTGCAGACAGTAGACTGGCTTGTGAGAGAGGGAGCTTTGGAAGCTAAAGGTGGAATGTGGCATGTGTGTGTATTTGGGGACTGACTAGAATGACCAGGGGGCCAGTGAGCTAGCTCACTCTTCTCTCTGGATGGGCTCCTGCTGCTGAGTCATGCTCCTCCCCTGAGCTCCACCTCTAGCAAGCTGAGCTGCCTTTTGTCCCACTGGTGCCCCTCCAAGTTAACCCTTCCACAGCCTTCCCACACCCGCTTCCCACCCACCCCCACCTCTGCTGCTTTAACTCACCCCTGGAAATGTGGGCTACTGCGGAGGTGCCGCTGGGAATGACTTTGGCTCTGAGGTCTCGGAACTGGGTCTCCTCGAGTCTGGTGGGCTGTAGAAGGTAGAAGGAGCCAGGCCTTCTGGCTGCCTGGGTCCAGAGGGTGATTCAGGCTGCAGACCTGGGCGTGCCTTTGTGCTGCTCACAGTTCCCAGCTGGGCAATGACCTACTACAGACAGAACCCTTTGCGGCTGTGGGGTGCAGGGGGGGCCGGTGCGGGTAGTGAGTCAGCCTCAGGCTAAATCCAGAGCTGAGCTCAGAGCTGGGCCTAGTATCCCAGACATTTGGGGCAACAGCCGGTGTTTCCCAATGCCTCACCACTTGGGTAAGACTCTTGGGGTCCCATGCTCAAGCCATTGGAGAGAGGAGGACAGATTTGGAGCTGGTGAAGGACGCGGAGTGGACTTGGAATCTGGGCCATCCCTGTGCCCGAGCTAACAGCACTGTGTGCAGTAATGAGTGTGCGTGTGTTTTTTTGGGGGGGGGGGTTGTGAGCACTTGCTGCCCCTCTAACCTGTGTGCCCCAGAGCTAGTGCATGGTGTGGTCCCTGGGGGTGGGGGTGGAGTGAGGGATGGGCATCCGTGGGGGGCCACAGGCGCAGATCTAGTATCTGCCACTCCTCTTCCTTCCCTCTCCACCAGCCCCTCCCCTCCCTTTCTCTGCTCCAATCTTAATTTCTAAAGTACTAGAGTCCACTCTGATGAAGAATTGCCATTTCTCCCTCTGACCGTGGCAGTGTGAATTAACTTCGAAGCTTGAGCCCACTGAAAATGTCTATGAGCAAGATGCAGAGTTAAAACTGCAGTGGCCATCTTGCTGGTCAGTGCCCTAGGCACTGCTAATTAGAGCTCAAAATTAGCCAGAGAAGCTGGTTACAAACGGAGAGTCCCCCGCAGGTGGATAATTATAATGACTCTAAGGATCTTTTCCTTTAGGAATCAGGGACTCCTTCCCGAGCTCCTACTGCATTGTGCCTGTAAAGAAAGGCATGCCAAGAGTAGGGTGGGACTGGTAACAGACCTGTCTTTTTCTGTAGTCCTAAGTGACTGAATAAAGAAGAGAAATGAAATCCACTAGGACTACCTGAGCTTTTGGAGGTAGAGATGCTAGTGAGGGGAAGAGGAGACGGCTCTCTCAGACTGAGGCCCTACCCCTCTGGGTCTATTCTGAGCCAGTCTCAACTGAAAGAACCTTCAGAGCATCTATATTGTCTGTCCTTTTCCCAGATGCATTATGATATCTGCCATTGGCCCCTGACTCTACTCCTCCCCTCTGACTCCGGCCAGCTAGCTCCTGGGCTGAGCACAACCGCTAGACACAGCAGCCAGAGCTCAAGCATATTTCCTTTCTCCACAGCCCGCCCCTAGTCTTGAGGTTCCCTCGCTCAGCTGCATGGTTGGCAGTTTTGTGGGTCTGAGGTCGGGAAGATATTTGGCCTCCCAAAACCCTGTCTCCACCCCACTTCCTGCCTCTAGCCAGAGCTCAGCCGTCTAGTTGGGAAGACACTCCGGCTCTGTGCTGGGGGAAATTGTATGGAGCCTAGAAGCAAGCCGGAGCCAGCCTGGTGGGGCCACCTACATCGAGTTCTGCTGGCCCCAACACTGGGCTTATTCTCTCTCCGCAGCCACTAGGTCAGCGGGCTCTTGTTCAGACCACTTCTTGTCTGAGCTAGGAGTGACTCTTGCAGTTTAGCCTGAGTTGAATTAGCTAGATCTTTCTATCTAACCTGTAACCAAGGCCATGATGTCACTCTCATGGGTGGACCTCTTTTGACAGCCCCAGTGGACCACGTGGCTGGTCACTAAGGGCAAGTGTACTTGGCTTTCACCCCACAGAGACTTTTCATTCTTAAAGTTGTCACTGGACAGTTTTGACCCCAGGACAGTATATCTGTTGCCTAGGTCTGTAGCTCTAGTACTTCTGAACATTGAGGAGCTCTGCCCCTGAGGCAGACAGCTCCCTCGATGCTTGCCTTCTGCAGTTTTAGTGCTGGATCCCCCAGCCCTGACCTGCCAGTGACTTCTTTGTTTGCTCCCTCAGGTGAAAGAGGAAGACAAAACTCTGCCGAAGCCTGGCCCTCCTGGCAAGGAGGAAGGGGCTGTAAGTGCTTCTCTGAGACCCCTGTGTGTGGGTGTGCCTGCCATAGGCTAGCCTGGGAGACAGTTCCGCAGAGCAGGCAGGTGCAGTAGGGTGCCGCTTCCTGTACTGGGTGGCCGGAGGGAATGGCAGTAAAGGGGCAGGAAGTGCAGCCTGTGTGGTGCTAACTTGGCGTGTGTTAAGGAAATGGGAATGCCAAGGCACTTTGCGGACCTCTGCCGAAGTCCTCCACCCACTTTAGTTCCTACCTTTAGTTCTGGTTTCCTGAACCTTTGGGGCTGGAGAGGCTTAGGTGGGCAGACTGTTAGGTCGGGAGCACCAAATAAGAGCTCAGCTGTTAGGACTCTTTGTCCTGCTCTGGGTGGCACCAGACAAGGGCAGCGAGGAATTTCACTGCAGCTGCTGCTGTCTCTTCCCAAGACCCTGTCAGCTGCTTGGTACGGGTGACCTGGAGGCAGGCTGCAGCTGCCCAGTGCCCCGCTGGACATCCCCCACCCAAGTTATTCTGCCTTGGGAAAGAAACTGAATAAAACTAGGCTCTTTTAAGGCAAGAAAGGGGAGACAGTTTCAGAAGAGACAGGTCTAGAGATGTGTAGTTAGGAAAGGGCTGCTGTTGACACAGCGGGTGGGAGTGCCCAGGGCCCTGGAGCTGGATCACAAAATTGGTCCATATATCATTACCCCAGATAGTGCCTGTCTCGGCTCCCCCACGTCCTTGGATGGAGATTTGATTAGCCAGGCATTGTGGCTTCTACCTGATCTGTAACCAATCTTGCAAGGCCAGCCTATGATTTCAAAGGGATATGTTTGAGATATGGGTGGGAGGGGCCTTGGAGTATGCCAGATTTTTTGTGAAAATTACACGTAAGGTGCTGAGAAGACTGCCTGGTCCATAATCAGCACTGTATAAGTGTTAGCGGTTACTATTGTCTTCATCTGCAGTTAGAGGGGACAGGAGGAAAGTGAGAAGAAGAAGGGAAGGGGCCATTCTGTTCTCGTCAGGATGAGTAGGCTCAGGTCTGGCTGCCCAGAAAATCAAGTGATAGAAGGGACCACAAAGCCAGGAAGCCCTGGAGTGAGGCCTAGGATTAATGATCGGATTTGGTTGTTTGACCTCTCCATGTTGCATCTCTGCTGTGCTTGGGCCGTGAGGGAGTGGGCTCGCCTGGACTCGGGCTTTGTTGCTGCCCTGACAGAAAGCCAGTAAGTCTGAGGCACCTCATGGTCTCCAGGCCCTCTGTGCTGGCATCTCACAGCTCCATGCTAAGCCTGGAGATAAACAGCAGGTAACAGCAGAACCTGCTTGTGCTTTATGGGAGAAGCCACACTCTTAGATGCAGTTGTCCTGTCTGTACGATGGAAAGCCTCTTGGAGCTATGTTATTTGGTGCATGAATGGATGGTCTGTTCCAGGGCTAGGCATGACGTCACACTTCTTACTTCTTACTCATGGGGTGGGTAGGGACGCAGCGGCTGATGCTAATATCTACCTGTATCTGTGACTGTAGCTAGAGGGCAGCTCAAAGGACAGCAGTGGCCCATCTAGGAGTCCTCAGCCTCCCACCAACTCTGAATCTACAGAAACCAAGAGCCCTGTACCCACACTTGCCATGAATGGCCTGGGGGCTGCCTCAGCAGAAGCCTCGAGTGAGGAAACCCCGGGCCTATCCCGGAAAAAAGTGGCAAATGCAGTGAGGAAGGTGGTGAGCAGGGTGATGCCTGGTGAGGAGCCTGGAAGCACCAGGGAGACTCTGAGCAGAGGAGTCAAATCCCCTGAGCACCCAGCTCGAGGCAAGAGGGGAGAAAAGGCAGCCTCTGGTCCCAAGCCACCACCTCCACCACCTCCCCCTCCTCCACCTAAGCCGGAAGCAAAGAAGGAGGCAGCCAAGGATGAGCTCTCTGTGGGCCTGCGGAGCCTGATGTCTCGGGGCAGGGGCAAGGATCACAAGCCCCGCAGCAGGCAGTCTCCTGGGAAAGGGGAGAAGCCCTCTAGCCAGGAGCCAGGCTCCTCGGGAAAACCAGGCTTCCCAGAGGTGGTGGACTCCTCAGCCAAGCCAGTCTCCCCCACCAAGCCTGGAACCCCAGAGGAGCAGTGTTCCCTAGCCCCACCGGAAGAGCTGGCTGACCCAGGCTCTGCTGGTCCGAAGTTGAACCTCACTGGATTGCAGCAGTCCAAGGCACCAGCCCCTGACGTGCAGCAGGAGGTACCCGAGTGTGTCACTAACCGCTCACGCTGTTCCCCATCCTCGCTTAAGGGCCAGGCACCCTCACAACTAGCTTTCCCATGTCTCCACAGCCCCGCATGACTGAGAGGCTGGGCCCAGGCCATTGCCGATGGCAGAGCTGCATGGCTTTCCTGGACTGAATGCCAGAGCTCATGGTGGCCTGGGCTTAGGGATACGACCTGCTAACCAGCATGCTGCCGTTCTGTGGGAGTTGGGGCCTGGTGCCCAGCTACATGGGGTCAGTTCGAGGCTCCAGACCCCAAGTCGAGGACCAGTACGCTAGCAGATTAGTTCTAGGATAGGAAGACAGAACTCCTGAAGTCGAGTGGCCTGTATACGTTCACATCCCAGCCACTCATCCCATGCAGGATCTCAGCAAGGTCCCGTCTCTAAGCCTTCATCTGTCAGGTGGGGACGACACGGGTCTACAGTCCCTTCTCTGAAGCCCTTAGGGCCAGAACTATTTTGGAAATTAGTTATTTTTGTATTTTAGGATATCATGCAGTGTATATAATGAGCAGCAATCCGTAACCAAACCCATTAATATTTAATGAAACCTATGAATGTTCACGCTGCAGGAGGATAAAATATAAACAGGTTTCGCCACCAAATATAAATAGTTAAGAAAAATCGTTTGTTTGGGGGTGCCTTTTGGATTTTGGAATTGCAAATAAGAGATGATATCTGCTTTGAAGTGTTTCTGTGAAGGTTAGAAATGATTGAGGTAGTGAATGCTCCCAGGCCAGTCCCTGGTGTGGAGGGTGCTCCATAAATGGCAGCATCATAACGGTGCTAATAACAGTAGTTATTAATATCATCATTGTCATCACTACCTTCCTTAGGCCTGTCAGCAGTCCCCTCTGGCAGCAGAACTCTTGAGAAACCCTGTGCCTGGGTGGCTAATGGACACAGTGGGCTCCCTTTGGATCTGGGTCCCTGTCTGTCCATAAAGTGTCCTCCGTGTGGGACAGGAGGCTGAGAGGCAGAGGGAAGGCCCAAGGACGATTAGTCTAGCCCCTTCCATTGGAAGATGATGCCTGCTTGGCTGGTCCTTAGATTGGGGACAGTTCTCTTTAAGCTTTCCCATTTTGGAGACCCTTCTGAGGGCCTGTGGGGTGGGGGTGGGTATGGGTGTGTGGAGGGGCACATCAGGTTTCACCACTGCTTCTCTGTGCTCTTGCATGCTCCTTCTGGCAAGAAGGGGAGGGGCAGGGAGTGAGGGGCAGAGGACAACAGCCTAAGGCTTGTCCTGTCTCCCAGCCCTAGAGGCCCTCCCAGGATTCCTAAGGCTCCAGAACCTGCCATGCTCCCATTCCATTCTTCTTGGGCTTTGAGAAACCTAGAGAGGAGCAAGCTGTGGCTTTCCCCACCCCTCTTGGCCCACTCTGAATCAGGGAGGTGACCTTCTGGCAAACAGGCATTGGCAGGGGTATCTCTGGCCTGATAGGCAGGGCATGAAGCAAACCATCAGTCTCTGAGAAGAACCTCTGAGGAGCTGAGTGTATCATGTGTCTGTTCTAGGCCAGCTGCCCTCCCTCCAGCTCCCTGTCCCCCCACCTCTCAGTAGGCTGGCGTTGGGGGTGCTGAGAAGAGCTCTGACTTGGAGTTCAGCCACTGTCACTTGGGCTGATGGCAAGGGCCAGAGGGTGTGTAGGAGAATAGGACTGTCCTGGTGCTGAATGGTTAGGACGGTGGGAAGAACTAACCCCAGAACTCTCAAACAGCTATTCTTTTTTCTCATCTGGTAGTTTAAAAACTCAAATTGGTGCCTGGCTTGCCTCCCTGACCCTACTTCACTTACCTGCTGGGTCCTAGTGGCTTCCTAGGCCAGAAGCTTGGCATGCTGTGCCCCCATCACTTCCCTGGCCATAACTAATAGTGATTTAACCTCCAGGCAGAAGCTGCCACCGAGGTCCAGCTGACCCCCGCAGAGGAGGCCCACCAGCGGCTTGAGAGGATCTTCACAGCTCCTGTAATGCCACCTCTCGCGTGTGGTTCCCCTGTCCCTGGCACTCCTCTTTCCTGAGGCTGGTGGCCAGACTGTGTGTGTCTGTGTGTTTAGGAAGGAGCACCTGCCTATGGAAGAGTGCTCCACGGTGGCTTGGGGGCCCTCACAGTGGTCTTCCCACTTCAAGAAAAGAAAGAAGGGCTCTGCAGAGGAGTTGAGCACAGAGAGGCCTGTTCCTTCAGGGAGCCCAGAGCCGCGTGCCTGGGGGAGGGGTCCCTCTTGGCTGGGTATCCAGCCCCCTTCCCCAGCCCTGTTCTCCTGCCCTGGAGAATATGTCTTGATGCCAGAGTCTGGTAGGTGTCGAGGCAGGGAGCTGACATTCCCATTTTGGATGCCATGACTCTCTAGACCCAGGTGCCTGTTAACTCCTTGTCCATTTCTGACAAGCAAGGTCAAAGGCCTGGCTGACTCCACTTCCCCTCCAGAAAGGCCTTTAAGTGACCAGACAGAGACAGAGAGGTCAAGGCTAGCAGCACTGTGCCTTGTTACTTGGGCAGTAGTCATATGGACCTGTATGGGATGATGCCTCCACTTGCCATGGGGTAGTGAGTCTGCCTGAGAATGGTGCAGGGATGCAGTAGGGGTTCGAGGAAGGCGTCCTAGACTTGGGGCTGCTGGTGGTCTTGTTCTATGAGAGGTGCAGGGATGACATCTCTGAAGGGCAGTCCTTGGCAGTGGGAATGGCATCCTTGGGTGTGTGTTTGGAGGCCAGGCTGAGCCCTGTGTTTGGATCTGTTGGCTATAGGGGAGCTAGGATGGAAAATGCCCTGGGTAAGGCCAGAGGCTTCTGGGGGACCCAAGACCTGGGTATGGTGAGGTGGCCTGGCCTGGTGGCACACAGAAGAGAAGCCTAATTCAGAATGGACTAGATGGCCAGCCTAAGAGAGACTGGGGCCAGAGGCGGAATGGCACATTCCTGCCCAGGCCATGGGGAATGATTTACCAGAGTATCTTCTCTGAGAAGTCTGATGGTAACAAGTGTCTCTTCACCTTTTCTTCCTTGTCTGGCCTATCCTTAACAGAGCACGATTCACCTGCCTAGGCTAGCAACCCCACTCCTGGTGCTAAGCGACTCCCATCTCCACCTTGTACCTTGGGCAGCCTGAGAGTGCCCACCCGCTTGGCCCAGGGTGCTTGCCGAACGGGACATGCTGATTGTCTACTTGTCTTCACCCCTGTTCTTCTCTCTCTCTCTCTAATTTGCTTGCTGCTGGTAGCTGGACCCTGAGGCCGCTTCTCCTGCCCACAGCCAGGTAGGGTGCTCCTGCCCCGCTCAGGAGCCCTCCACTTCTTCCGATGACCACCTGCCACCCCCGGCTTGTACCTGGGCTGGTGTCTGTGCTCGGGCCTCGTGTTGGAGTGTAAGGCCTCTTCTCCCTTCCTACTCCCACCTGGTATCTGGGGAGATCCTCGGGGGAAGCGGTGACAGGAGTTTGAGTTGCGGCAGCTCTGTGTCAGGCCCCTGGGGAATGCCTAGACCGAGTGTCACCACAGGAGTTTGACCTCTGTGGCTCTTAGCCACTGAAGCCCAGGGGCCTGACCAGTTTTAGTTGCTAGGTGCTTCAATTCTGCTCACTCTGGGTAGAGAAAGCTGAAAAGGCTGAATCCCTACCACCCCATCTCAAGCATGAAGATGTAGCATTTTCTGTCTCCACCTGAGGACCAATGTGGGAAACTCACCTTCAGATAAGCTCTAAACGAATTATAGGCTGTGACACTTTGGTGTCACCTTATGTACCAGGCTCCAAATTCTTGAACGTACCAATTTTTAAGACAAAGGTTTTACTTATCTCATGTAATTTTAAAAGAACACATAGTTTTGTTTTATAAAGTTACATTTTTTCAAATATATTTTTCAAATGTACTAACCTTTTTTTTTTTTTTAATGTTTTCACTTAACAGTTTAAAATATTGACGCCCCATAGTGATCCTCCAATTTGAAGGGTAGTATCACTGTTCATGATTGCTGGAGTTTGGGGGCCACGGGTGTAGTCCAGCCTTCCCACCCTGTTGCTGGGAAGGGCAGTCAGCGAGGGAGAGAGTTCTCTAAAATCAGAATCCAATCTGGAAGTAGAACCTAGATCTCTTGCAGCTCTAAGAATTGTGACAACGAAAATGTTTCCTCTTGCTAT